ACCTACTTATATTTCATTTAGTTTAAATTATTTTTTTATATTCCAATAAGTTCTATAAGTAACATAATTATCAAAATACCTCTAATATTAATAGAGTGAAGTGCACATTAATGTTCATATTGACAATGTAAATGTTCCATGATGTGAATATTCACATTGTCAATGTGAATACATTGTCAAATTTATTTAAACATCACCATGTTGCTAAAGGCTTAAAAAATATTTTAAACGGTAAAATTATCCTTAAAATACCTTAAATATAATAATTGAGATGTTGCGAACCAAATATCCAAAATAATAAGACTTATTAAAATATAAAAACACAAATACTTAAAAGATAATTTTCTAATAAATATATATATTTTTTCCTTTCAAAATTTTACATTCAATACCGATCTTTTTTAAAGACCTCGAAAAATAAATCTAAAAATTATTAAAAAATAAATTTGTAAAACTCAAGTTATAAAATTTCAAAAAAATTTAAGTACAAAATAAATAGAAGGGCACATCTATCCAACATTAGTGCCTAGAGTGAATGTCAAGTTTAAGAATTGAATTTATGATTCGAAGGATTTTTTTTTTGACAGGAAAGAAAACATTCCCTTTCTTTTTAAAATCACACAGTAAATATATTACATTTGAATAGTACAAATTTTTTTTTTTTTTTTTTGGGGGGGGAGGTTAAATTACGGATTAGTAATATGTTATGGGCTTAATTATCTGTAAATCTTGTACACTTTTTTAATGTACTAGTAAGTATTAAAATAATTTTTGTCTTTATACTTTTTGGAGATATTGATAAATAAAAATAAAAATAAAAAAGCAAAACTGATAGAAAAACCTATAAAAGAGCAAAACTTTTCGTAAGTGTATTTTCCTTTTCTTTTTCTTTTTTTAAAGTCAAACTAATATCTCTCTATCAAACAAGTCCTTATGTATTGCAGAGTGGAGACACAGACAATTTGCTGATATGAGGAAATATTATCCGGAGCATAAAAAAAAATTCACAACTGTTGGACTTACAAAAATCATTGGTTAGCTTCTCTCCAATCCGTGATAAGACTGAAAGACTAAAAAGTATTGTTGAGCCCGTACGATCCATCACGGGTCTCTTTTTAATAATTCGAACTATTCAATGTATAGAACTCGTTAAATACTATATACCTGTAAAAAATCACGTTGATTGAATATCGATAATTATCTCATCAGATCAGATTTCTGTCAACCGTTTATTTTTTTACTGTTTATTTTTTTTTATACAAAACTAAATTAATCACGCAGCTATCGATATCCAATCAACGTAATTTTTTAAAGACAGAGTACTCAACAAATTTTACATATTGAACTATTTAAATTATTAAAACAAGATCCGTAATAAATCGCGCCACAGACTTAATAGTACCCTCTGGTCTGGAGGGAAGGCCCAAAATGCTTAAATGCATCTTAGAGTACATATGCAGTGTTCCCGACAAATCATAAAATATATTAGGCGAGAGTCATTTATTGTCTATCAAATAACTTACTCCAATAAAAGTGAATAAATATTATCTTATTCGTAAATATTTTCATAATCTCAACAGTGCCATGTGGCATAGAGCATAGTTCTCTTTCTCCCTGTCCCTTGTGCCAACCGTTCGGCTATTATTATGTAATAGTGTCCAAGAGAAAGAAGAAAAAAAAAAAGAATTAAACCCCACTTACTTGGTGGTAGTTGGTGGAGAAGAGTGTGAGTGGTGGAGGTGGTGAGGGAGAGAAAGAAAAAGGGGGCAATTACATCTTAATGGGTATCGGGAAAAAATATATATTCATGTAAAAATTTATAATTTTAATTATTAATATGTATATAATTTCTCACTGATTTATAATTATTTTTTCAAAACTACACTAATGTGATATTTTCCTAAAGATAAAGGGGTGTAAAGAGAAATGTGCAGAAGAAAGTTTAGGAATAATAATTTCACAAAGGGATAAAAATATACTAAAAAAATATTAAAATGAAAGATGTAATGAGATAAAAGTGTTTGTGTAAATAGAATTTTCCTACTTCATATGATTAATTACACTCAACACCCTTACACTTTCACTAAAATTTGACTTCAACCCCTTAGGCAATGGGACGAGTTTGTTGTGGCCCACTCTTGTCCCATATCATATCAGAGAGGTGGGACAAATTGAGGGTGGAGGTGGAGGGAGTGAAGCAAGAGATAGGTTAATTTTATAAATTTAATGAAAACACCAATGAAAATTATAAATAATATGATAGATTACGGATAATAATGAGAAGTTTAAAATATAAGATGAGAAATAAACAAGTGAAAATAAATACTAAGGCCATGTTTGTTTGGGTGGACATGAGCTTGGAATTGGACTAATAGTCTAATAAAATTATTAATCCGATATTTGGTTAAACAATTGAAGTACGGACTAATTATTTTAAACTTGACTATTAGTTAAGATAGGATACATAATCCAACGGATTCGTAGTCCTAGGACTATTAGTCATGGAAATACTAATCCAGTCCGCCCAAACAAACATGGCCTAAGTGTAATAGTTGTGTTTTAATTTTAGTATAATGAAAAAAATTACATTATAGGAGAACTTCAAAATGGCAGATAAGATAATGGCGACTGAAGAATGATAGATTAAATAAACTTGATGATAAACTAACTATAAATTGTATCTTTCAAACTGTGGTTACCTGATGCCCATACAGAAGGAATTATAAACTTCAGCAAGGATGTAATAATAATACCATGTCACCTTCGCATTCGATGGCGCTGTATGAAGATCAAGACTCGCACTACCAAAATGATGTGAATTTGATAAAACCTGAAACTACCAAGAATATTAAAAAAGAAAAACATGGTATTACCATTGAATTTGGAGGCCAAAAAATAAATTATAACTTCTACTCAGCTACACTTCTTTAATGTACTAGTAAGTATTAAAATAATTTTTTTGTCTTGATACTTTTTGGAGATATTGATAAATAAAAATAAAAGAGCAAAACTGATAGAAAAACCTATAAAAGAGCAAAACTTTTCGCAAGTGTATTTTCCTTTTCTTTTTCTTTTTTTAAAGTCAAACAAATATCTCTCTATCAAACAAGTCCTTATGTATTGCAGAGTGGAGACACAGCCAATTTGCTGATATGAGGAAACATTATCCGGAGCATAAAAATAAATTCACAACTGTTGGACTGACGAAAATCATTGGGTTAGGATGCCCTCCAATTCGTGGAAGGCAAGACTGGAAGGCCCTATTAATGGGTCTCTTTTTAATAATTTGAACTATTCAATATGTAAAACTCGTTAAATACTATATATCTGTAAAAAATCACGTTAATCGAATATTGATGATTATCTCATCGGATCAGATTTCTATCAACCGTTTATTTTTTCACTGTTTATTTTTTTTATACAAAACTAAATTAATCACGCAACTATCGAAATCTAATCAACATGATTTTTTACAGATATAAAATACTCAACAAATTTTACATATTTAACGATTTAAATTATATCTGTAATAAATCACCACAGACTTAAAAGTACCCTCTGGTCTGGAGGGAAGCCCCAAAATGATTAAATGCATCTTAGAGTACATATGCAGTGTTCCCGACAAATCATAAAATATATTAGGCGAGAGTCATTTATTGTCTATCAAATAACTTACTCCAATAAAAGTGAATAAATATTATCTTATTCGTAAATATTTTCATAATCTCAACAGTGCCATGTGGCATAGAGCATAGTTCTCTTTCTCCCTGTCCCTTGTGCCAACCGTTCGGCTATTATTATGTAATAGTGTCCAAGAGAAAGAAGAAAAAAAAAAAGAATTAAACCCCACTTACTTGGTGGTAGTTGGTGGAGAAGAGTGTGAGTGGTGGAGGTGGTGAGGGAGAGAAAGAAAAAGGGGGCAATTACATCTTAATGGGTATCGGGAAAAAATATATATTCATGTAAAAATTTATAATTTTAATTATTAATATGTATATAATTTCTCACTGATTTATAATTATTTTTTCAAAACTACACTAATGTGATATTTTCCTAAAGATAAAGGGGTGTAAAGAGAAATGTGTAGAAGAAAGTTTAGGTATAGTAATTTCACAAAGGGATAAAAATATACTAAAAAAATATTTAAATGAAGGATGTAATGAGATAAAAGTGTAGTGTAAATAGAATTTTCCTACTTCATAGGATTAATTACACTCAACACCCTTACACTTTCACTAAAATTTGACTTCAATCCCTTAGGCAATGGGGCGAGTTTGTTGTGGCCCACTCTTGTCCCATATCATATCAGAGAGGCGGGACAAATTGAGGGTGGAGGTGGAGGGAGCGAAGCAAGAGATAGGTTAATTTTATAAATTTAATGGAAACACCAATAAAAATTATAAATAATATGATAGATTACGGATAATAATGAGAAGTTAAAAATATAAGATGAGAAATAAACAAGTGAAAATAAATACTAAGGCCATGTTTGTTTGGGTGGACATGAGCTTGGAATTGGACTAATAGTCTAATAAAATTATTAATCCGATATTTGGTTAAACAATTGAAGTACGGACTAATTATTTTAAACTTGACTATTAGTTAAGATAGGATACATAATCCAACGGATTCGTAGTCCTAGGACTATTAGTCATGGAAATACTAATCCAGTCCGCCCAAACAAACATGGCCTAAGTGTAATAGTTGTGTTTTAATTTTAGTATAATGAAAAAAATTACATTATAGGAGAACTTCAAAATGGCAGATAAGATAATGGCGACTGAAGAATGATAGATTAAATAAACTTGATGATAAACTAACTATAAATTGTATCTTTCAAACTGTGGTTACCTGATGCCCATACAGAAGGAATTATAAACTTCAGCATGGATGTAATAATAATACCATGTCACCTTCGCATTCGATGGCGCTGTATGAAGATCAAGACTCGCACTACCAAAATGATGTGAATTTGATAAAACCTGAAACTACCAAGAATATTAAAAAAGAAAAACATGGTATTACCATTGAATTTGGAGGCCAAAAAATAAATTTTAACTTCTACTCAGCATTAGACCTGCATTGCAAGCGACCCTAGCCTTATCCTTGGCAGAACCACTAGTAAATAACTAACACTGCTCTATTCAGGTAGGGATGGATTATCAGCAAGGCATGTATGCATCATTCCCTCCTTGCACTCTCCTCAATAAACCTTCTAGCCTTGGATTCTTGACTCACCTGACTTCTTCAAGCTCCCCAATATACCATCAATCAGCTTGTCCTTGTTTTCCACAAGCTGGTCTGAAACAAAAGAATAGCTCTTAAAAGGTTTTTGTTTCCGTCCACATTTTACCATAGGAGTTTCAGTTTTGAAAGCAGCCCCAGAGGAATCAGACGGTTTCAAGACATCTCGGGAACAATCGACCATCCCATCTACATTTTCTGACCCGTCCTTTCTATTGGTCTCCCCATTGCTGTACCAAGAGTCCAGAATCTGTAATAACGAGCTTTCTTCATCCTTTGTTCTAGGCTTCCCTTCTCCTTCTGATCCTCCTGTTAAAGATGCAGTCTCTTCTTCTGAATCTGAAATGGAATCATCAGACACAGTTTCATAATCAAGATGTATCCGTCTTGCAGCTTCTTCTTTTGCTCTCCTGTTTGACAACAATATGTCCCTTTTATTTTGCTTGGGATCTACTTTGGCAACAGGCCCAAGTTCCCCCCACGGAGAGTCAAGATCATCATCTCTCATTGATGCATCAGATACCTGACTATCTGAGCTAGCTATTGCACCACTGACATTATTTTCTTGAACACTAGGATCAGCAGTTTCTAGGTGAGAACTCTTTGCAACATTAAAACAAGGCACGATGTAAGTAGAGTCTATTTTCACCCCAGGCATTATCTGTAACAGGTTCACCAATTTTTGGTATCCAAGCTTTTGTATATCCAGAGGATAACCATATCTCTCAAGGAACAGTTTCCTAAAAGAGCCCATATTGAACCCTTCAGGGTATTCCTTCACAATGTCATCCACAAGCTTCTGACAATCAGCTAATATCTCATTTCTGGACTTGCCAGAGGGTTTCTTATTAATGACAGATGGAGAAACTCCAGAGTGAGTAAGATTTTGGTGTTTTCTCTCTCCATCATGTTCCACTGATCTTTGAGGATTAGACTCCGATGTTGAGCTTAGAAAGATAGATCGTAACCCATTTGAATTTGGAGGATTACTCAAAGTGGAATTCCTTCCAGCAGGCCGAATGAGTTTGAAAGGATAATTTTGGGAGGGGCACTCTCCCACCCATCGCTTCTCTAAGATCAACAAGTCCACTAGGTGAAGAAGATCGTTTTGAGTAAGAGATCTGAGAACCAAAGGGCCTTGCTTTTGCAGATTCTGAACCATCTGTTCTCTGATACACAATAGCACAAAAAAACAGTTCCCACGTGATTCCAAATGCATCAATGAAATTCTAAAGAGAGTTACAAGCTCTAAATTCAGCTTCAGCATGAAATTTGATCTGATCCATTCTAAGGATTTTAACAGAACAATTATGAGTTTTTTTATAAAATATTGCAGTTACTATTAAAATGCAAGAAAATTTAGAAATTATGTGATGAAAGAATGAAACAAAAAGTAAACCATTCACAGTGACAATATACTCTGTATAAATATATTAAAAAAAAAATATGGCAACGGTAAGACACATCTAGACAGTTATTTTGCTCATCCATAATACAGGAGGAAAATAAACTCTAGAAATGAATCTTATTAGACATAGTACTTAAGCTGGGGGAATAACCTTCACTCAGCTTTCCTCCATCCACATAATGACATGAGATTGACTTTTGAGTAAAAACCTAATTTATCAACGCAATTGGGACTTAATCAAGTGACAGAACCCTGTTATGAAGTATACAAGGTTGTGAAGAAAATCAAGCAAATGACATCTATAGTTTGCAATATGCCAATGCCATTAACTAATAAGCATGGTCATGGACATGGGACATGGATAGGAATTAACTATTCCTTGTGACTGGCTAAATCTTTTTTTTTCAACCCCTCTTCATCTGCACAAAATGCACATATTAAAAGTAGAGTTAGGTTTAGCTCCATTCATGACTTTAATTTTGTGAACTTGGCCATCTAGTATTCCAACAAGAAAACACCACAAAAATAAGGATGATAAAAGCTCTGGTCCCTCTTGATGCCCCTCTGATCATCAGGTCCACCTCGAATCACTCAAAATTCAATTCAACAAATTAAGATATGCGTTGACACAAATACAATTAGTATTATATTGGTGACAACATAGCATCTATATAGATGTTTTTTCTCATGGAAACCAAACAGAGGAAAATAATTAGTATCCCTCTTTCTCAGCATTTTTCTCTCTACTATTTTCCCTTCCCTTTTCATCCCTTCAACCCCTAACCCGTGTCCCCAAAGGAAGGGGGGGAAAAAAAAAAGAAGAAACAAGATAAACACAGCATTGGAAGAGTATTTGTTCACCAAAGAAGCATGAACGCGTGACACGATATAGACACGCCAACTAAAAATTTTCAAAAAATGCAGAATATGCCACGAGGGACATGCAAAATATATGATGTCATATATATGAATATTTCATTCAAAATTAATAAAAATATTTAACATAACTCAAATTTTTAAAGTTTAAAGGATGATAAGTAGCATAGACACGGACACACGATGAAACAAGGATACGACAATGACACACAAACACGTTAATTTTCAAAAAATGTGGGACACAACACGTTTGGGACATGTTAAATTTTTATATTATTACAAATGCGTCATATATATGAATAGTTTAGGAATGTCCAAAGAGTGTCAGTGTCGAACACAACATGCTTACTCCATAGAATTGTATGAAGCTTCTTAGATGATATTTCAATAGGTAAGAATCTACTATAATTTTTCATCATTAGGTCATAAGTAGTTTTGTTCAAACTTGTAGGACACATTTGGACTTGCTAAAATCTAAAAATTTAAATAAAATCTAAAAAAATTTAAATTGTAAATTTAAAAATAATATAGCATGTTTAGACTTTTGTCAGATACATTACACTAAGTGTCTGACAAGTGTTGGTGTCTAACACGGACATACCACCTTCTTTGAAGTATGTGTGCTTCTTAGTTGTTAGTAAGAAACAGAATCCTATACTGCTCCATCCATTGATGCCATAGATTTGTTCACCAAAAAGATGAATAAGAAGAAATAAAAATATTATTGGTTGAATCTACAATGTGCCTTACTTTCTTAGAACTTTTTGTGAAGAAAATACTAAAAATATATAGTTGAGCCCATACTATTTTTTCGATACATTATGCAATACTAAATTAATAATGAAGACATTAGTGACAAAAACATGATATATTCAGGATCAAGAAGCAAGATTAAACAAGTAAAAGCTTCCTATGGAATTTTTTCTAGCAATAAAACCAAGACACTATAAAAAGATATGGAAGAGCACATCTGTACCTGCTCCTTGATTGTAAGACAAGGATCGAACCATTGGGAGGTGTATGTATAAATGCTTCCATTTCATTCCAGAAAGAATCCTTCAAGAATAGTTCATGCTTCCCAGAATCAACAGTTAGCTGGTTTAATTTTTCACTAGATTGTTCAATTAAATTTTCAGAGTTTGGGCTCTTTCTCCAAAACTTACACCAACTTATTATCTGTGTAAAGAAACCAGGATCCCTGCTAGATTTATCACCATAACCTTCACCACCCCCACTAATGCCACCCATTACTACATTACTGGATGACGAAAATGAAGTTGAACCAGCTGGATCAGTACGCCGGCATGGTGGTTTTGCACACTTCTCCTGTGTCTTAGAATTCTCAGTGTGACCACCAGAAGTAGAATTTTTTCCCGGTATGCTGGCACTTTTCTTGTCAGAACCAACATCTTCATCAAACAACAATTTCCTCAACCACTTTCTAAAAGATGCCACTTCAGATGTGGAATTGCATTCTTCAACAGGACGCAAATGCTTCTCTGTTACCTCGGCATTGCTTACCTTCTCAGCAACTGGAGAGTCTTCTTGCAACTTAATTTGTGACTCTTGCAATTTTGTTGGAGGCTCTTTAACATTTAGTTCAGGGGTTGGTGGCGATGACGGTTTTTCATCCATGCCTTCATCCATGCCTGCACCATTTACATTAGGAATTATTGCAGAATCTGGCTCTTTATTGTTAGTAACTGGTCCAGTAGCTATGCCTGGAGTGGATTCAACTGGATCAGGAATTTTTGGGGCAACACTGCATACCAAAAACTGACCATCACCCCCAGATTGAAGCTTTAAAATGTGTGGCATAGATAAAAGAAAGCGAGAAAACTTTTTAAATCCATACAAGTCTTTATCTATGCTCACATTACTCTTCCCCAACTCTGAACGAAGATCTGTAATGGAGATCCCTTTGGGGTAAGAATTTAATATATGACGGATATGCTTCACAACTGCTTTTGGAACTGGACGAAGCTTATGATCTAAATTAGACTCAGACACCTCCTCAGCCCGTGAACAAGCTGTTTGCTCAGTAACTGCAAATGGATCATCGAGAGGCACCCTATAATGGCCATACCAAGAACCATATGGACCATCTGGGGGTTGGTTGAAATACTTTCCAGTGAGGTTTTCCCCTTTGACCAAAGCATTCCAATGCCACATAATGCTTGCAGCACTACAGAGAACACTAGGAACAGTTTCGGGACAAGCAAGCAAGATATTGTAATTGTTCATTCTTAATCGGTGTAAAATGCCAGCAAAATCTCTGTCACCAGAAATTAAGAAAACATGTGCTGGTGGAGGATTTTGAGAAACCCAATACATAAGATCTACAAGAAGAGATCTATCAGCACTGTTCTTCCCACCTGAATCAAAGATAATTTGCATGGTAAAGGAGTTTGGAGTGATAACAAATAAAGAAATTTGAGATGAACAAAAATAATTGTTCTTGACAAAGTCTTCCACAGTTTTTTTAAGATAGAAATAACAATCATGACTGATTTACCAACTGGATGTAAACCTTGTCGAATTTCAGAACATAGTTCTCTTCTATTGATCTAACTGAACTTTCAAAATCTTGGGATCTTGAATCTGAGTCAATCTAACATTTACCAGCTATAAACTTAAAAAAGTATATTGTAGATGAAAATCCTGCTAGTAGTAATGATCTGGACAACTAGGTAACAACTTCTCATCCCGATCTTGAGGATATGCAAGAATATGTTACAAATAGTGTTTTAAAAAATACAAAAACAATCATGATTATATTGAGAAAGGTAATTAAAAAAATATCAAATTTTTGGTTTTGAGAAAAAAATTATAAAATTTTTTTTTGAAGCTAGTAACTGAGAAAATGCACTATTCTACACATGAACTTGTCCACAAGGTTAATATAGCCATTAACAAAGGTAGTGTCCTCCCCCCCCCCCTCTTTTGATAAATAAATATAAACATTACCAAGATAGTATACCACAACAATTCATCCCATTTGAATAATCTTTGTTCATGTATTTGAGAATCTCTCACATATACTTACTTTTTTTTTTTATAAGTATTCATAAAAATGATTGCCAGCACATCAGGTTCAACCAATATCTAAAAAAATTCAATCGCAAATGACCAGCTACGACACAGGTAAGAAACAACGTAAACGAACCATGAGGAATGTGGGTTAGATTGATCCCAGTTGCCGATAACGCCTCCTGGTTCGATCTCGAAAGCTGCAAGACATCGCCAAACGCCGTGATATGAATGGGGCCTTTGATCCCATTTGCCCTAATTGCAGCAGTAACGCCCTGAGCGACCTTGAACACGTTCGCTCCGGCCGGCAAATTGCAGTTCTCGAAGTCCCACCACACCGAAACCCTCACGTTCCTGCTCTCTTCCTCGTGTCGCCGTGTTGGGAAGGAAGAAGATGGAAATGATGATGAAGAGTGAAACGAGCTTGAGGAAGTTGAGAAGCGAGAGATTCGGAGGCCATGGTGGTGGAATTCAGCATTGTTGATTGGGTTTGTGGACAGTGAGCGTGAAGAGAAGAAGATGAAGAAGATTCTCGGAGAAAAAGGTTTCATGGTGGACGAGATGAGAATTAGGGTTAGAACTTAGGGTTTTGGAGTGAAAATCGAAAGAGGACCGTGTCATTTCATTGATGACATAGACACAGTGGCATACTTGCAGGTCGGTGAGAGGGGCGCAGGCTGGAGAGAGGGGGGAGGAGCTAAAACCCTCCTTAAAACCCTAGGTCTCGTGCGAGTCATGTGATTTCACCCAGCATTTAAAATTTTCAAATAAGCAATAATTAAAAAAATTATAAATATAACGCGATGATTTACTTAAAATATAAATTACTTATTATAATTTTAAAAATTATAAATATTTTTTTGTTAAAATTTATCAGAGTTGATAGAAAAATAAAATTCATAACTGTCGTTTTATACAACAATGAAATAATAATAATTATTAATTAAAATATATTATTGATATTATTAAAATACTATTAATTAATTTAACGGTTGATTAATGAAATGAATTATTTGTTATGCGGTTAAAAACTTTAAGAAATAAAATGTAATTTTTAGAATCACCTAAGAAAATTAATATTTTAAACAAATCTCAAAAATACATTTATAATTTATCTTTTTAAAAAAATAACAAAGTGAAAGAAAAAAGAAAAACAAAATTATCCGTTATTTTTATTTGACATGGGTAGGCTCATAAAGGCCATAACCCATTATGAACAACCCAAGCCTACCACTTAGGGCCCAATACATAACCCAACTGATAAGGCCCAGCACAGCTGGAAGTCAACATAACTTGAAGGACCAATGATATTCAGGCACGTGGCAGGTAAAAGGCAAGCCACATCATTTCGTTGTCCCTTTCGACTTGTCACCTTGGCCAAAAGTCTATGCTGTAACTTACTTTATTCAGGGTGAGGGCGTGCTGTTCCGACGGAGAGGTGTTGTCGTAATAAATGCTGTGAGGGGCTACATTAATGGCGATGTGTAGTAGCAATAACTTTGCAGATCTTTGTCTGCTGATGTGGCTTGCCCTTTACCTGCCACGTGTCTGAATATCATTGGTCCTTCAAGTCATGTTGACTTCCAACTGTGCTGGACCTTATCAGTTGGGTTATATATTGGGCCCTAAGTGGTAGACTTGGGTTGTTCATAGTGGGTTATGGCCTTTATCGGCCTACCCACGTCAGCATTAATAATAGTCTATATGATTGTGTCAATTTAGCCTGCAACATACAAAAAAAAAAAATTTTTTTGATTTGGTTTTCCAATTTAATTTTGTCTATCTTTCTGTCTGAACTAGGGTAAAATTTGAAAATCATAAATGCACATCATCAAAAATTGAAAAAAATTAAAAAAAGAAAACCCAACATCTTGGAGAGGAATATTCACATTATTATGATAAAATGTAATTTTTGTAATGCAGGAAAATAAATTTGTCACCCAAAGCTTATATTATACAATCAATGAGATCCTACTTAGGATCTTTGAGTCTAGCTTTGATGCTCTTTGTACCTTCATTCTTTTTTGATGTAAGCTCTTTGTATTTTATAGCTTTATCATCAATAAAGTTTTCTTTTGTTGATTAAAAAAAAAAAAGAAAAAAAGAAAGGGGATTACTGTTGAGCTCTATTGTAATGTATCAATAATCATCCTTATAATTGATTCTCTCTATGCTTTTGTCTGCTTAAGATCCATTCAAAACCTGGGCTGAGGTCCAACCCGCCTATGACCTAGTGTCATTTTTAGTGGAAAATAATAAAATTTTGATAGAAAAAAAAAATTAAAAAAAAATGTTTAGGCCCGTTCAGATCAGGCCCCGGCCCGCTAAAGACCCAAATACCCCCCGAGCCTGGGCCTAATTTTCTTGCATGTGGACCGGTCCAAGCTTGGGCCTGAGTGAAATGGGCTGGGCCGGGCCTAATTTACATCCCTAACCGTGAATAAGAAATTTACGGACCTCTACTATAAAATTGACTCCTCATTTCACTTTCAAGTAGAGTTTTTATTCCTTGCACTGAAAAAATATATTTCACTTAACCATGGTTCATAAGTGAGTCTCAACACAAGTCTATGGATTATTGCAGTAAAAGGAAGCTTCTCTCCAGTATACATAATAGATTGGAACCTACTGTTAGGCCTATAGAGTCATCATGGGTTTTGTTTCAATAATTCGAACCGTTTAATATATAGAGCTTATTGAATATTTTATGTCTACAAAAAAATCATGTTAACTAGATATTGGTAGCCCCTAGATCGGAACACATTTTTATTAATAACTTATTTTTAAAATCATATTTATTATTGATAAAAATGTATTTCAATGAAGAGACTACCGATATCCGATCAACGTGATTTTTTTTAGTATGAGGTACTCGATGAACTTTACATATTGAACGGTTTGAATTATCGAAATATGATCTGTACTAAACCCCATTTACTCAACAATTAATTCACTGTGTGAACTGGATAAAAGGTTCTCTGTTACGATAACCTGTCTAGTCAATCGAAAATATATATATATATATGGTGAGAAACGTGAGAAGCAAACCGCTATGCCCAACATAGGGGTAGGCGTGGGTCGATTACGGCCACGGAACCTCCAATCTGTCATCCGTCCGCTAGATTGGCGGATTGGAGAAAATCAATCCGTGTCCGTCTGCCAATCCGATCGATGTGGATTGAGCAGATTAGCGGATTGATGCGAATCGGTTTGACGGTTTAAAATTTTATTAATTTTCAACATAATTCAACTTGTGCACCTCTTAAAAAATAAAAATAAAAAGTATTACAGTTAATGACTGAAAAAGTATTACAATCACTACATGCCTTATCCAAAGAAACAAGGTTTAAAATTTTAGAATATTACAATCGCTGCATGCCTCATCCACATATTACAATCACAGCATGTCTCATCTACATAAACTATTACAATATGTGGTTCTTAAAATATAAAAATAATCCAAACCACTAAAATCATGAACAGAGCGGCAGTAGAGATTGTATGCCTCTGTATTATTACATCTGTATTGTTACATCTGTATCTATTTTTTAAAACAAAAACTAACTAGCATATATCATCTTTTTTATTTATTATTTTTAGAGTTAGATTTAAAAATCAAAAAATATAGATAAATAATACATTATTTTTTTCATTTCAAACAATATGTTCAAGTTGAAAACTCTTTTTCAATAGAATATTTAAACTCATTTCAATTAAAAACACAAACAGAATGTCTAAATAAATTGAAAACACAAAATCTTACAAATTATTAGGGATGCTCACAGTTTAGCGGTTCGGTTGTGGTCAAATGAACCTCAAATCCACCATTCGTCCAAAACTAGGCGGATTGGAAAAAATTTCAGATGTATGTATGAGCTCATTTCTTTCCTTTTGAGTTGTGTGCACTCAAAACTCTTTTAACAAAAATCACATAAAATCAAGTCATTTCCAAAGAAAGCAAAACAGTCTATAACTTGTGTGTCTCACATAGTAAATTAGCATAATAAAATCAAAACAAGAGCATATAATGTTGATAAAAATCACATCAATATTAGTAGAGGCAGATCTTTGATTGGGTTAGGGGAGTGCTCAATTCATGACTTCCCTTCTCATACCTAAGTTTCCGAACCAAAACAACTTTGGTTATGACGGACAAGTGGCCTTTGGCACGAGTCACCGGTTTCCTAAATTTTCCAAAAATATTTAGGTGGTGACTCTAAAATCTGGCAATGCAGTCTATTTTTGTCATCTCTGATGATTAATGGATTTTCTGGGATATGCCAGATTTAGACTCTTATTTGTTTTCTATTTCACATTACACTTGTGAAACCAGAGTCAAAACCACGAGAGTCCGAATTGTAGGGTTAACATACCTGAGGACACTAAAATCCTCCGAGGAGCACAAAAAACCAACTACAATCAGTTGACGAAATATAAGGATTGACTACAAAAGATGTATATAGATATATAGGAAAAGTAATAGTTACAAGATTATATCTTAGTTATGATAAGAGTTTTGACACCTACAATATTAAAACATGATTAAAAATTCCTAATCTTCTAGGATAGCCATACGTCTTCAATGTTTCTGCTTTGTCGTCGTCCATGTAAATTTTGTCAACACTTGGCATAAAACGCCATGATCTTAGAATACTAAGTAAACACGCACACACCCCGTTCCTTTTTCCCAATCCAATACATAACCACATTTATAATAAGCAAGAAGTGTAATAATCAAGTAAACAAGCAAAGGATTACAAGTTAGGTGTTAGTAATCTAGAAATCCTCTAAAGAGATTGCATCCTCCCAATTAGAATTGGACTCAGATTATTTGGTATGCCCCCTCTTTTGCTGCTTTGCAATCCTTAGCCCAGATGCCTACAATGGTTACATACCGCATGCAACCAAGGATCTCAAAAGATCTCAAAAGAGAAGATAAAAATATATAATCTCCTCCAACCTTATCTATAATAAGTACCTAGGTCCACATGCAACCGATCCATTCAAGGGTTCCGAAATAACCACTTGCGCAAGACTTAACCATCAGTTAAGGAACACGTCCTATCAATCCATTATCATCTCATCATTATTCAAATGATTGAAAAACCAATACCACCTCATTTTATTTCCCCTTGAGTTAGATATTTTAATTTAGGGTTAGAACAAGCTATTGAGACAATAATTTCTATACAAGTATGAGCATCATCAAAGCACCATGGTAAAGAAATATAGGCACAAAATTGTAAATATCATACTAAGGCCCAAACAAGAGATAAGAAGCACATTCATGAATTAAAAGTATGAAATCATCAACAAGCATAAATTTTCATAGTTGATACAATTTAAAGATCACAATCTAAGAGACATTTCCAGATTTTTTCTGAACTTAGCCTTTCCATGGTTTGTAGAGAATTTTATCTAGTTTCTTAATCATCATAACTTTTCTAGATTTTCAGTTATTAAAGAAATACTCCAGTGTTCTCCAGGTTCATCAACTATTACAAAAATTGGATTTTCCCTTAAACCACTCGCTCTTTTTTGATAAAACCATTTTTACTTGAAAGATAACACTTTAAAAAAAATTTGACATAAAAATGAGGTCAAGAAGATTTTTTTTTGCATTTTTCTAAATTTTTTGAAATTGAGCTAAAAATACTAGTCTTTCATTTACAAAAATTGAAATAAGAGGAATAATAGAAAAAGAGGGCAACCATGATTAATTTT